ATTCGTGGGAAGCTTCTGACCGCTGACCAGTTCCGTAAGCGTAATGGCCCCGGAGAATACCAATCATGTGTTGTTCAACTGTCACCTTGCTAACCTATTCTGGAACGGCATCAGATCGTGGTTGGGTGTGAATTGGTCTCCCTCCTCTTTTCTGCACCTCCGGTCCTTCAGTCCTTGTCTAATTCTCTTGTTGGGCAAAAGAGACGCCTATTTTGGTTCGGGTTTTCGGCTATGTTGTGGGTGTTATGGATTACTAGGAACAAATTTACTATCGAAAACATCTTTCCTTCTAAACATGTTCACTGCTTGTTTAAACTGATTTCTTTTTTCAGCAGTGGAAATTATTGACTAAGGAGAATGATAGCGAGGCAACGAGTGTGCTGATCTCATGTGTGCACTACAACTCTACGGCGTCTTCTTTGCTTCGGATCGACCAAGCTGACGATGGTTGATGTTGTGTAATCGTGTTTCTTTAAAACTCTCGCTGCGTGTATTTTCGGTTGCTAATCCTAGACATTGATGTTATGTTCAAACTCTGGCTTATGGCTTTATCTATAAAGTTGAACTATGGCCTTTTCTCTTAAAAAGTAAAAAAGATAACATTGTGTCTCTTGACACTTGAGAGAGGTAGGTGAAGGCGAGCAATACCGCGGCAGACTACCCCGCCGGCGGCGAACGGCTAGGCGGCCAGCCGGTGCAGTTACAATCGAGCATGCACCCCGCCCCCCGTGACTGCCATTAATGCCGTCTTTGATCCTCTCGACCGGCGCAACGGGCTACGTCGTCATCCGCCATGATCGAGTATCACCAGTAACTGCATCTACCGATTCTACGGCGGCGCAGCGTCCATAGAACGGCACACCTACGGTCAGCAGACTATCACGGCGATCCGATCCAACGACGAAGGAATGAATCAGGCCTGCACCTCGGCCACGAACCGGGAATGGTCAGTGAATCTGCCCTGAATCTTCGTGGCCGCCCAATACCAGCGCCGCCGCACGCAACTTGGCAACCGCCCCGAGCAGAATCTGACACCCCGTCCGGTCAGCTTTCTGTTACCGCCATTTAAACCTCCTCGTGTCTTTCCCGCCGCAAACCAATCCATCGCTCTCCTTCTGCTTGCTTACAAAGCTTCTCAGTGCTGCTCATCAGATGACGAGGGACGACCCGACCTATAAATACACCTCCTCTCTTCTCCTCCACCCTCATAGATCTCACACTCCAAGCTAGCCAACACCAGCTACTGCTCGGTGAACTAGTTTGGTACGTAGCAGCTAGCACGATGGGGCAGCTTAGCAAGAACCTTCTGGTGGCG